TTTTAGAAGTCTAGAAACAGTAGTTTGTTTTGGTTTTATACAGGGAGTCAAATTATTAAACAGACTGTGACCTTAGGCAAGTTTCTGAGCATTTAAAATAAAACCAAAACTAAAATAAGGGCTTTGGTTTGATGTAAAATTCTGTCGAGTTAATAAGTTACGACTTCATGATATGTAACAGTAAGCAGCCTCACAGATACAGCACCTACTTTAAAAAAGAGTTCCGAGGAGCAAAGGCAAACTTTCTTCCTGTGATAGCTCCTGCTGTAAGCCACGTAAGCCATGCGTCTCTTGCTACTTTGGAGCTCTGGGGTTGGGGTGGGAGGGATAGCCAGAGCAGTTAAATAGGCACATTTCATAATATCCTAACCGTGTTTCAGGCTGCCCTTAAATTGAACTTATGGGCAAGAATCAGTCTTCTCTTGTTATGGTAATTTATTAAAGGTGTTATTTCAGAAGGTGCAGCCACATTTTTAACGGCTGGAGATTCTGCTGTAATGATCAGGCACCCTTCACCTGGTGTCTTCTGGGGAGTACTGCAGTGGTTTGTCCCAGCCGGGTCCCCGGGCCAAGAGTAGCTGCGGGCTTTCAGAACCTCCTTCCCTTTACAGGCCCACGGTAGCCAATACACTGATGGATGGGGACTCTTATTTTTTTCTTTGCTGTGGAGGGGAGAAAGCAAAACAAGTCTCTTTTTCCTTATATGCTTTGATCAGCTCTTCTCCTGAAGGTTAAATAGAATTCAGATATTTAATTTGTGATCCCAAGTCCAATTTTAAAATTGGTACACATTTCCTGTGAACATTTTGTGTTTTTTATAGTCTTCTGACTTGTAAATTGTGTTTGCAGACAGTGGGACTACATACCATACAGTGTCGGGAGGGAAGCAGTATATTCCAAAGAGATGGGCTCTTTTTGTTTTGTTGGAAAACTGATTTTGGGTTCTTAGTTTTTCCTTAACATTAAATTCTCACAGGAACTATATTCTCTCCATCAGTGCTTCGTCAGGTCTCATCGCCCTCCTGTCCACTGGCTCCAAGTAGATAGACCACGCCAGCTGCACCTCCAGCTCCGTATCTACGGGGGGCCTGTGCTGTATGAAAAGCAGCGGGGTGGTCGGGGCGGTCAGGGTGGGGGACACATGCGATGTTTTTATAGTCTGCAGTTTGAAGGTTTGAAAAACCCAGCACATTGTAATTTAATATTTGTTTATTGGCTCTTTTTTGACAGACGGTTGAAATTACATAAGTTGAAAGGTACACTCCGAGTACCGGGACACTTATTAAAAGGCAAAGCGTGTCTCCCAATGTGCTGTAATCACAAGAAGAGAAAATAACTTGTTTCTTTGATTTGTCAGAGGTCACAGTAACCTGGACTGAACTGTTGTTATTTGTAATAGTAGCAAGAAGTTAACTGCTGGTTCTGTGTGTTCCAAACACAATATTACAACTGTTTTGGAGCCATAAATACCAAAATGAATCCTCTTCCTTCCCCTTTCCCCCAGCTGGGGGGCGGGACTGAACTTCATGTTTACAAGTCTGAATTTGTGATTTGAAATAACTCAATTAAAGTTAAAAACGTGGTTTCTCCAGCTTAGGGAATAGAAACTTGTGGAAAAGTTCTTTTTTAAAAAAGAAGAAAGGCAAGCCACGGCAGTGACTACTGACAGTGCCCGGGCATATGAGGGTTGCCCTGTGAGGTTGAAGACGCCCTGTTTGGCTGTATAGCTTTGGCCTTGGGCAGCCAGGGAGGTCAGTTTGACCCTCTCATGCTGGTTTGACTTGTTGACAGACAGTCACTGTTTTCTGGGAGCGGAGTTTTACTGCTGGAGGGTTGGTCTGTAAGAGAGCGAGCCTCTTACTTGAATATTGACATGTAAAAGACCAGAGTAATTTTTATGATCTTAGCTCCAGAATTTGAAGAGCATTCCAAGGAATGAAAGTGATTTTAGTGCTCATCAGCATTTTACCACTCAGACACTCATAAATTTGACGTTTCAGTCCACAGGTTCCCATTGATTGTGAATAAAATATTGATCTGTTCAGCCCTTGGGGGTCCAGCCAAGAGTCATTTCTCTTTTTAACCAGTGTGTGTACAGATGTTATTTTCTGTGTGTGTCATGATGTGAAAAAGCTTGGGAAGCTCTTGGAATCCCAGGTGATAGTGGTTTCATATTCCTTTTAGCCTTGACCATATCCAATATTCCTTGTAAGCAGTACCTCAAAGGAAATATATGTCTAATTCCTAACCCTAGTTTTAATCTTCCCTTTCCACTTCTGAATTGGAGATGAGTGTTCCAAATAATACTTGCTGCTTTATTTATAACTTTATAGAGTCATCAGGAGCTCACGTTTTGCTTCCAGGCAGTTAGGTGTTTTGGTGAGGCCGCACCCCAGGACTCAGAAGGAGTACAGGGAGGAGTACACTTGCCTCGTGGCCCAGGTCATCAGTGTCTGCAGTGGAGGGTTCTGTTCCGTCGCTGCTTCTAGTTTGCAGTCATTTCTGCTGGTACATCGTCACCCACATGCCGTCACTGGATAACAGTGAATGGGGATGTCAGAAAAGATCCACTGCCGAGTAGCGTGGCACCTAAGAGGTTTATTTTTAGGTTTAACCTTTTTTACCCCTGTTGATAAATAACCATCAGTAGTTTGACTACTGATGGAGTGGCTCGGAGTTTTGTGTACCAGATGTATTGCTTACTCAATGAAATGGCTGTTTGACAAACCATCAGCATCTACTATTTGTTACCAGACCTGGGTGGAGTATCTTTTTAAATTGCCAGCAAAAATTGCCACTAGATGGCAGTGGGTGTGTAGATGAGGGAAGAATTGCGGTCATTGTTAGTAAGCACAGTGTAGCTGAAGTGGGGTGGTGAAATAGAGGCATCGACTTAGTGTTCTTCAGACACTTTCTCTTGTATTGATAAACTAAATAATTCGTAGAAAAGCAAGTTGGCATAATTTCATTTTGATTCTGAGTTTTTCTTACAGCACTCTGCTTTTCATCTTCGTGACGATTTCTAGCTTCCTACACAAGGTAAATTTCTCTGCACAAGTTTATAAGGCATGTACTCACAGTTCCACAGTTTTAGGCAGGACACGAGTGCCCTGCTCTTGCAAATTGCAGAGCCTCTTCCCCAGTCCTCTCCGCGTCATCCTAATGGCTATGTGGCGCACAGAATGGTGTAGTTGGTAAAGACGTGCTGGAAAAATTTTCATCTCAAAAAGACTCCCAGATCCAACAACAGGAAAATAAAGGGTTCTCTTGTGATTGGGATTTAAAGTGATTCAATTCCTTTTTTACACCCCTGTGACAACTAGAGGCTTAAGGTGTTGGAGCATTTTATATTTCCCTATTTTTAGTTTCTTCATTTGCAACTTAGTAAAAATCTTGGATTGAAATTATTCTTAGCTAGTAAAAAAAATTTACTGCTTGTCCTATTTGGTATATTATCCTAATTTGGAAAGGATAATTTAAAACAAGTTTTACAGTTAATTGAAATATGGAGGTTGGATTTGTATCTAAAATTATTGTGAAAGATCTTACTAATTAAGTGTCATTAAACTTAGCTTTTTAAAATTTGTTTTTCCCTAGCCTTTATAAAAACCAGGTGAGTACAGCATCTTTACATTATTTTACATTACCCATCATTCAAGTTTCCCACACATGTAAATGAGCATTTTTGTAGTTGCTGATCGGGTGTTTGTGTGGCGGTGTCTAACGTGGTGTGCAGTTACGTCACAGAGCAGGACAGCAGGCCTCTGCCAGCGCCGGCCTGCCGCACTGTCCTGCTCGCCCCATTTCTGTTTGCAGTGCTCGTGCTAGTTACTCCTGTTACTGGAGACGCAGAGGAGGGGTAGACATAGGCTCGTACATGTGTAGAGAGCAGCAGTCTCACAGGTGTGTGTATTTGGGCTGGAAGGGTTGTCTCCCACCTGCGTGGACTCCCAAGCAGGGGAGTTAATTTAAGGTTAGGAGTGGTTGGTTTAAGTTTTCATGGAGGTGATTAGAGACTATGCATTGGCCTTCACGAGTTTTAATTATCACTTCTTTGGCCTTTCCCTCTTAACTGGTTCTGAATTTGGATTCATATCCAAGCTTTTTTTTTTTTTTAACTTAAAAACTTAACACACACAGTTACTTTTCCACAAAGCTTTGAAACTAAAAAAGAAAATTGTACTTAAAACAACACGGAACTTAGTACTTGGATTTTGGGCCTGGTTCTGCCATCAACTGGCAGTGAGTTTGGGCAAGACCTGTCTTTTCAGGCTTGCTTGGCTCATTTGCCAAGGAGGGGTGGTCTTGAAGATGGCCAGGGTCCCTTGAGGCTCTGCTGTCTTAGGACCTGTGGCACACTATTAAGATGAAGTGACAGTTCTGAAAGTGGAAAGCCAGGCACAGGGTTTCTAGTTTTCACTTACCCTGGCTGAAATTTCAGGATGTGGATGGCTGCTACCCAGGCTACTCTTAGGAATGGTATGTTCTCTCCCAAGGAATTCATTCCAGGAAAAAACTGAAATGAGAGTGCATGGAAATTTTTCCTAAGGATATAGTTGTGAAATGTATTTCATATCTAGTATATTTACCATGGCAGATGACTTGTGTATAAAAAAGGATGGCTGTTCCTACAGCTAAGCAGTAATATTTGTATTTGATTTTAAGTTGCAGGCTCTTTTATTAATAAGTGAGTTTGAGAAGCTTTAACCTTAGTGCAGAGTACTTCTAAAACCCAAGAAATGATATCTTTAGTAGCTAGTCCTTTATTCCATTAATAAGGAAAGTATAGATTGCAGTTTAATTCTTGATCACTGCTGTTTTTCTTAGATATTCATTGCAATCTATCTGCCAACATAGTTTTTATTAAGTGAATGTCACTGCCTGTTTTATGGAGCTAGATAGGTAGAGATAAGTATCTCCAGCCACATATAAATATATATACACACACAGACAGCCTTCCAGTGAAAGTAAGATCAGATAAAAACAGATTAAATGCACAAAATGCTTTTATTACTCTAAGCAAATTAATAGGTTAAATTACAGCTTCAATCAGACAACTTCAGCTCATACATACAGCAGTTCACTGATTGGTTGAATATACAAAAACAACTGAGAAACGATTCATTTTCATCATCACTCTGATACTTTGGGGCAAAACCCAAACTATTTTCTTAATTGAATACAGATAGTAGTAACCAAAGAGGAAATGTATTGGTATTTTACATTAACATTTTAAGATTTAGAACTTCACCAGGAAATACATATCTGGAAATGATGGTAAAAAATAGCATTTAAAGCTGATGATACATTTCCGTAAGTCTCAAAATGATTTCTATATGAGGGACCAGCTGGCCAAAAAATTAAATTAAAATTTTGTATGTGCTGAGATGTCCAAATAGAGTTACAGGACTTCCGCCCCCAACACACCCCCCAAAAAGGAAAAAAATTGTTTTTCTCTCTTCTAACGTACACACAATATATTCCCCCGAATTTCTCTCCCATGGAGCATTCAGGAGGGTAGGCAGGGCCGGGTAGACCTCGGCTTCAGGGTGCACTAGAGCGAGGCCACTCTAATCCATGCAGTGAGCTTTCATGCATATAGTTAGTGCACATCATGTGATGATAGAATCAGGAGGCTCCTTCACATTTTGCTTTTTGTTGGGCAAGTTGATTCACTCAGCATATGCCGAGTAGTGACAACATTTTTCACAAAGCCTGTGATTTCCTTTTATGTTATTAACTCCTCAGAAACACCAAACATTATATTGTGAAATCCCAGTGCTAATTAAACAGCAAACATTTGCCTTTCTGGGTATTTTACAGGTTTACTGAAAAACAAGCCTGTGTATATTTTTAAAGCTCAAAAATATAAACTTGCAGAAGTTGTGTCTACAAGCAGTCAAAAATGAACGTTTCATTGCAAATGCGTTACATTTTATTCAAAGCTAAACTTCCATAGTAGTGTAATCCTCCCTTTTCATAAATTTACCATAATTGTCCTTTTACCATTTCTGCATGTAAATGAACATAGCATTATTAGAATACTGATAGACACCTTGGATAAGCTGCTATACAGGGTCATTCTTGGGCTAAGCAACAGTGAATATTTAAAAGATAATGAAAGCAAATACCTAGGAGTTAGTTTTGTTAATAATGACTAGTGAAACAATAACAACAGGAATGTGAGAACAGAGAAAAAAATGCAAAATTGTTCCTGTTTCTTTTCCCAAACAGGACTTCTGTGTGAATGTAGCCTATTCTTTCCGGTGCAGTCCACATGGCATCTGTGGGTTTTGCTCTTTTGTAAAAACATCTACCTGTGTAGCCCTCTCTAAGTTGCCAAATGTCTGAAAGTACTATGTCTTTCCTGCCCACATACTTCCCATTGCATTAGCATGAGGTGCACAGAGAGCAATGCAAGAACAGGTGACTCCAGTCCAAGATAAGAAAATAGGATGGATTTCCTTAGTTGTGGATTTTCAGATGTGCTCATAATTCAGGTGCACAGTGGTAGTGACAGCAGACACCTCAGCGTCCGGGGACACTAGAGGTTGAGCAGCAGCTGCTAAGTGATTTGAAAGACTGGCTGGTAACACCCTTCTGTATCGGTGGAGACCGATGTTTTAACCATGCAGCGCCTGTGGCTCATGCATTGCCTTATGACCTGTAGTCCTTTTTGCTGTAGGGCTTGTTGCGCAATATGTTATCAATCTCATTTACCACATGTGACGTCATCTTTGGGAGAACCTGAGAGCGTGAGAAGTACAAAAGATGCCGTTAGTTGTTGATGTTAGTTCTTTGTGCCTGATGTTAGGCAGGGTTGTCCTGACTGCTGTACGTTTATGAACCATGACTGAAATACAAGCTCCCCACGAGACTGTGCGCTCCTTGAGGTCAGGGACCCTGTTTTGTTCACCTCCATTACCTCCAGCGTCTCTGAGGGCACTTTGTGCTGATAACTGTTGGTTGACTGAATGAATGAAGATATAAGACACAAATGAAGGCTGAAGGAAATAGGTAACATCCAGAGCAGCTCTGCCCGGTGGAAACATGATGTGAGCCGCACAGTGTAACTTTAGATTTTCCAGTGGCCACATTAATGACAGTAAAAAGAAATGGGTGAAATTAATACATGATTTTACCCCATCATATCCAAAACATCATTTCAACCTGTACTCAGTCTAGAAAATTCTTAAGATGCTTTGTATTTTTTTAAAGTGCATAGTTTTTCAAATCTGTGCCTTTTACTCTGACACTGCATTTGGACTGGCTGCCCAGTGTATGGTAAACAGCCTCATGTGGCCCGAGGCTGCTGTGCTGGACGGCACAGGCTTAGAGACTTTCTCTTTTTTCTAACAATGTTTTAAAAGATTTTCTTTATAGAGGGAAGGGAAGGAGAAAGGGAGAGAAACATCAGTATGTAGTTGCTTTTTGTGCACCCCCCACGGGGGACCTGGCCCACCACCCAGGCCTGACTGGGAATCGAACTGGCAGCCCTTTGGTTCCAAGGCCAGCACTCAGTCCACTGAGCCACACCAGCCAGGGGGAAGGAGGGATCTACCACTGGTGGTCAGAACCGTGGCGAAGGATGGCCAGGGGTTAACAGGCATCCCAGGGAGGTGGAATAGCATGAGAAAGTAAAATGTCTATGAAACACAACGATGCAAGTGTGAAGTGAGTGGTGTTGGTAGGGGAACGGTGGGAACTGGGGAAAGAGAAGCTGGAGTAAAGATAGGGCGGAAGGCCTTGAACGTCATTTTCTTTGTGGAGTCGGGACTTTATTCTGTAGACAGTGGGGAAACCTCTCAGAACTTCTCAGCTGGGAGCGAACCCTCCAGACACCTGGTGGTAGTTTGAAGGAAGAGCTGGAGCAGATTGAAAGGGGACCAAGGAGGTTAGAGATGTATTGTTGTCCTAGGCCGTGACACTGATGCTTAACTAGGGCAGGGCTGTAGAACAGGGGCGTGGATCTGAGACACTGGAGGAGGATGGCGGTGTCCAGACCGCGTGACAGGAGACACACTGATGTGGGTGATTGAGGTCAGAATCCACGGGACAAGAGTGGAGAGTTTACGGTGCCCGTGGGGTGTTCGTGTGGGAACGTGCTGTGAAGCTGGCTGGCCGGCCAGTGGCAGGAGGACTGGAGCGAGGATCTGAGTCGTGTGCATGGACACACTCACTGAAGCCCTGGGAAAGGATGAGGTCACCCAGGGCTGGCACTCATGGTGACAAGCGGGCCAAGGGCACGCGTTACACCACAAGACAAGGGACAAAGGCGGACTTCTTCCCAAGGAATAGCCTGACCCTGTCTGGAGACTGTGATGAAATGCAGTGTGACAACCGGTTCTGCGGTTTCAGCCCCACCCTTCCTCTGCCGCAGTCACGCTGGCCCGGGTGACCTTGTCTTCACTCGGGAGCCATTCTCAGAAACCGGGTTTGGCAGAGCAGCAGAGCTGCCCAGTTTGGGGAACTGGTTCTGATTCATGTTTCTCCACCGGAAGGTGAAGGAAGAATTTGACTCCCCAGCAGTTCGGGCGTCTCTGAGGATCTAAACTCATGTGTCATTTAAAGTGAGATCGCAACAGGGAGACCCGAATCTAGAAACTGGGTCTGTGGGAAGTTTTCTGCTAAAACAGTGGGTGAACCACGTGACGAAAGGAACTTCATTCATTACACCAAAATAAATTTCAGATAGAGATTTAAACATGTAAAAAAGCTGAAACCATACAAGTAGTTGAATAAAACATGAAAAATGTGTGTATAGTGTCACAGACCTAAATTTGCAAGAAAAGCCACCCAGGGACTTCATGGGAAATTAGTCGAGTTTTTAAATGTTGACAGCTGTTTTAAAACACTGGCATCCACAGATTACACAACACCCCACAGGCCGCCAGTTTTGTGATGTCGGTGTTATGCTGACTGGAGGAATGGGTGGGTGGGGGCGGTCTGGCCAGTGTTGCCCTGTTAGTGGGGTGTTAGGGAAGTCCTCCCAGGGCTGGGTCACTGTTCAGTAGGACCCTGGGGTCAGAGCAGGATTTTCGTTGGCTGGGGTGGTGGACACTTTGTTGGCAGAGGACCACTGTTACTTCTGGGGATCCGAGTGGTTATGGTGGCTGGAGATGAGATCCAGGGAAGGTGAGCCCTAGATGGGCAGGAGCCTGGACTGCTCTGATTGGGTGACGGGGCCTCAGAAGGGCTTTGAGGCTGGCGGGGTGGAGGGAGAGAGGAGATTCTCTGCTCTTTTCAGGTAGAAGCGTGGAGGACGGGGGCCTGTGTAGATGATGGCTGGCCACCCGCAGCTCTGGGGTCTCCGCTCCCATCTCCCATCTGTTGAGGCTCTGACTTACATGTGCCCCTCTGTCTCACGCACCACATAGGCACGTTTTATCCCTTGGCGCAGCAGTATCCCTTGGCTCAGTGGTCTTGATGGGCCCCCCAGCAGTTTCCTTTCGTCTGCTGGCACTGCAGCTTTCTGTCTTGCCCCTGATCTCAGCTCTGCCAGGAAGCCCCAGCCACCCAGCCTGCTTCCTGCTCCATGGAGGGGCCCAGTTACAGCTTGCCTGGGGTGGATTCTTAGGTGCAAGGCTGGTGGAAGACGGGAGTAGGAAGGGGGCCTGGTGGATGCTAAGTGCCCATTGGGGCAGCCTCCCTTCCCAGGTAACCTCCCTTTTCTCTTACCCTTTGAGCATGGGTGGCTCATTTTGCTACCAGCCAGGGCCTTGCTGGGAAGATGATTTGGGAAGATGCCTTAGTTTTTCCCTGAGATGTGCCCTCAGCTGCCTGGGGTGCTCCCACTGTGCAGGAGTGACCTCATTCCCAACCAGGCCTCTGCACTCACCCAGGTGGCAGGGCTCACGGTGTGTCAGCCTAACAGGAACCCTAGTTCCTCCCTCTTCCTGCCAATCTGTCTGCAAGTCCGGTTTCTCTTTCCCAAACCTGCAGGATCCATCACTTCACCTCCTGGCCACGAGCGTCTGTCACCTGGACAACTGCCTGTGGCTTTCTTCTGTTCACTTCCCACAGCGCAGCCAGCGCAGTCCTTAAAAGTTCTAATAAGGGCATGTCCCTCCTCTTCTTAAAACTCTCCAAAGGACTTGTTACATGTTGAGCAAAACTGTGACCCCTCTGGTGTCCTGTGAGATCTGGCCCCTGCCTGCTGCTCCGCTCCAGTGCATCTGCTGTCCCCTTGCTCACTACGTGCTGGCCACACCAGTCCTGGGGCTGGCAGTTTTTGGAAAAGGCCAAGTCCCCGCCCACCTCAGGCCTTGACCCAGCCCCTCCCTGCATCTGGAACGCACTTTCCTGGGTTTCCGCACCCTGCATGCTCATCTGCCAGGCTTCACAGTGCACGTAACCCAGAGGGGCTTTGGCAAGGACGTCACTGAAAGAGGGCGGGTCCACCCATTTCTCAAGGAGTGTCTATGACAACGCCCTCTTTACAATAGCCCTCCTCACAATTTGAAATTACACATTTATCATGTGTCTCTCCCACTAGAATGTAAGCTCCTTGAAGGCTGGACAATATGTTTTAGTGCCTGCCTGGTCGTGGTGGGCCCTCAGAGGCCTGTTGAGCTAAGGAACAGATCGCTAATTCACTCTCAGCCAGTCCCTGGGCTCTTGAGGGCGGGATCCTATTCTGAGCCCAGCACTCTGCCTGGCGTGGTGCCAGACATAGAATACGTGCTCGCTGTGTGTTAGTGGACTCGAAATCCTAGGGTGGAATTCCAGTGCTCCTGTGTACAGACTGTTCCCTATTTCTTTATCGTCATCGTGCAGTCTTTATCTTTTCCCGGGCATAAGTGAAAAGAAGAGACTGTGGGGTAGCTTTCCTAAGAGGCAGCATTCCCCATGCAAGGGTGGAGATGCCCCCAGAATCCAGGACAGTTGTGGGGCCCCGAGGGGTTCATGGAAGCAGAGGCGGAGGTGACGACACACTGCACAGCCCCACCGAGGTGACGGTGGGGAAGGAAGAGTGCGCCATGCATCCCCCAGCATATCCTGGGCTATTCAAAAGGGTGTCTATAAACATTTTAAGTTCAGTCAACTTGGTCCCCACCTCCACCTGTTTCTCTTGGGAGAGGTAACAGTGAATTAAGTGTTTGCTTCGGGGACAGGTGGACAAGGGAGAAAGAAGCTCTGAGACTGCTGTGTTCCCCAGTGAGCAAAAGGAAAAGACACCACTGGGCAGGGGTTGGCTCTGGCAGGAGTCGGGGGTGGGCTCCTTCCAGGCCCTCAGCAGGGCTCAGGACCGGGATTGGTCCTTTGGGGGAGGAGGATGGTCCCGAAGCTGCTAAGCCCCACCCCTCTCCTCAGAACTCCCATGTCCACGCCTACTGCCCTTGCAGGCTCCGCCCAGTCGCTGCGGCGTCAGGCAGTCCTCCCAAGGAAGGGAGTGGGGATGGGCACCTCGGCATTTCCTGCCAGGGAGATGTAACCCTGCCGTCCAGACCAGAATTCTGATCCCATTTCTTTTAAAACAGCATCACAAACATTCATTCAACAGGTGTTTCTTGAGCGTGACTAAGGGCTGTAGCGTATGTTAGAACCGGAAATCAGTGGAGAAGCGAGACACACAGCAGGTCTGACCTCAGGGAGCTCACGGTCCAACAGGGGGGACAATTCCACCTCGTGGTCCTAAGTGCTGGGATGGGAGACGGAGGGCAGGACGTGTTTGTGGGAAGAACAAACGAGTGTGTTGTCCCGTGGCTATTACATTTTAAGTAGTTATTAGGCAGGCTTTTGTGGTCAGGCCTGGGGACCTGTTACACCTGGTCACCAGGTGTAACATTGCTTGGCCCGTGGAGTGCCCTGTCCCACAGACACAAACCATCCTGAGAAATGAGGTTTGAGAACATGGCCTGTTAATAAGAGGACACTCCCGGATCCATGTACTGTAAAGGCTCTGTTCTCTCTTGGGCCTTTGTCCCTACTTTGCATCCCCGCCCCCCACCCCAGTCTGGGAACAAGCAGCCTGTCAGGGACTTTCATGTAACTGGGAAGCTGTGACATGAGGAAGGACAGATGTGGGGAGAGACGGGACCCTGCCCGGGGACATCTTCAGAGACACCACAAAATTCCCCAAAGTGGCAGGAAGGGCCATGGTACTTGCCTGGATGGCACCCAGGTTCTCAATGAGCTGCTCAGGTGTGGATGATCCCAGGAGCACAGAACTCACGCCCTCGTTTCTCAGGCACCATGCTGGGGAGAGAGAACACGGGGTCAGGGTATCGAAGCCCTCCTGATGATTGATTAGTTTACAAACACCACCTGTAGCCACCATTGTTGCGACCAAAACTTACTAATGTTGCAGGGGAGACACAGTGCACTCCGGGATTAAAAACATCAGCAGCGGCCCTGTCACGGAGAGGACTTGGTAGGATCTGTGCGTTTGAATCCTGAGTTTAGCGCTCTGTGTTTTCTACGTGGGCCCTTGCCCTAACTACTGGGGCATCCCATCCAGCTACCCAGCCCAGGTACAGGTTCTTGTTCCGGAAGACACCCGATACTGCTCTCTGGCAGCTGTTGGGATCCCTGTGTTCATGCTGGCCCACAGCAGTCTCCTTTCGGTCTTAGTGGCACTCTCGCTTCCCCCTCATCTGTTGTTCCGTGGTGACCTTGCAGACTTTGAGTGTCTGGTTCCTTCGTTTCCACCTACCTGCCAGCTCTTTAGGACCCTTTCTTCCTAACACGAGATTCACCCGGTGTTGATGATCTCCCCGACCCTCAAATCCCTCACTCCTCTCCTTCCTCTGCCTCTCTGGCAACCTCTAAAACGCTCTCTCAACACCTGCCCCTTGACCCCAGCAGATAACCTGGCCTTCGACTTTGTAAACAATTAAGTCTGCTCATCAGGTGGGATATTCCCCACTCTCCCAGGGACACAGTCCACGTCCACATCCTCCCGTGTCAGAGGATGCCACGTGCTGCTTCTGTCTGAGGCCACACTCTGCCCTGGATCTGTCTCTGTCCTTTCTTGGACACCATTCATTCATTCTCTCTCCTTGTGCTTACAGTAGACTTCTCAGTTCGTAGCTGCCTGGACCTAGGTGATCCTGTAGACCCAGGGGTGCGGTGTCTGCTGGGTGTCCGTGCTAGGGGTCCCATAGGCGCTGCAGACTTCTTGCTGTCTGTCCTGTGTTCCCAGTATCATCGGGTGGCTTCACTAGCAACTTGGCCTCCCAGTCTGGGAACCTGGGACTTATACTTAGGGATTTTCCTTTTCGGATCCCACATTCCCCTTTGATTGCCAAGTCTAGTTGCTATTTAAACATTTCTCCAGTCCAGTGGCTCTCAAAGTGTAGGGCATCAGAACCACCTAGGACTTGCGAAACAGCAGTTACTGGGTACCACCCCCAGGGTTACCAACTCAGAAGCTCTGGGCGTGCCTGAGTATCTGCATTTTTTCTTTCATCTTTTTAAAATTGGTTTGAGAGGGGGGAAAACATGCATTCGTTGGTTGCTTCTTGTATGTGCCCTGATCAGGGATTAAACCCAGGCCCTCGGCGTATGGGGAGGACGCTCTAACCACCCGAGCTGCCCAGCAGGGACTGAGAATCTGCACTCCTGACAAGCTCCCATGTGATGCTGCTGCTGATCCAGGGACCATGTTTTCTTTTTAAAAAAACTTTATTCAGGTGAAATTGACATACCAAAATCTTTACCTATTTTGTGTATGATTCAGTAATTTTTAGTAAATGTGTCAAGCGTGCAACCATCACCATGTAAGATCCAGGTTTCGAACACCTCCATCACCTCAACGAGCTCCTTCGTGCCTGTTCTCAGTCAGTCCCATTCCTACTGCCAGCCTCAGGAGCTTGCTCATTGGCTCTGCGCCCTGGGGACTTCCTGTTTCTGGACACGTCAGCTAAGGAGAGTTATTTCTTTCACTTCACAGGTTTGTGAGGTTCATCCGTGTTACAGCATGCATCAGTATGTTGCTTCTTTCTCTTGCTGAGCTGTGTGGATGCAGGGACCATGGCCGAGAATCACGGCTCTGGTTCAACTGTCCGCTGCCCTCTGTCAGGCCCTCACCAGCCCCTGCCCGACTGTTTGCCTTTTCCTCCTGTTCCGATGGCGCCCCCCACCCCCACCCCCACCCCCACCCCCATGCAGCTTTCACACTTCCAGCAGCAGCTTCTCTAGATACAAATCTGGCCATGTCACGTGCCTGGCTCAGCGTTCTTCAACGTGTGCCTCACGTAATCCTCGTCCTATAGGATGAGGTTCCCACTTCTCTCCCTGGCAAACCTGGCTTTCTAGCCCAGCTCTCCAGCTTCTTGTCCCCCCATTTCCTGCCTTGAACTTTGTGCTTCAGGCGCACTGAACTATTTGTAAATCTTCTTCATCCCCTTGGCTCAAGCAGTTTCCTTAGCCTGGAATTTCTCTCTGCCTCCTCCCTTCCTTTGCCTCACTAATATCTACTCATTGAGATTCTCCGTGGGGACTTCTCCCAAAGCCCTTCCCTGAATCCAAGGCTGGGTTGGGAGCCCGTAGATGTTACTTTCAAAATCTCCAGGCCTTTCTTAATTATTTTACTACAACACTGTATCACAGTCATCTGCTTACTTTTTTGACTCTCTCATCCGGCGGTGAGATGTGTTTCTCTGAGGTTGGATGCTCAGCACTCAGCCCAGTACCTGCACACAGCAGGTGCTTAGGAAATGTTGAACAAACATAGGCATGAATGATAGGTGGATGGAAGAGGGTCCGAGCACCTCTCCTGCCCCATTTGCTTAAAGCCCCGCTGTCGACTAATACTCTTAAGCTGTTACCAGGCTCAGGCCTTTTAAGGCAATTGCTAACTCTTTCCACATGGGCAAAATAATACTCTATAAAGGCAACAGGCCAAGTGATTCAGGGCTTTTTTTTTTTTTTTTTTTTTTTGGTGGCTGTATTATTTCCTCCCTTGCACTTACAATTCTTTTTTGTGCTAGTAGAAGTTCTGAGGGGAAAGCAGGATACAGGGAAAATCATCGCCCACTAAGTACTTGGTATCCGCGGCAGCCAGTTCCCCACTCTGGGCTGCACAGTATGAGACGCCCTCCTGGGCAGAACTGGCTGGCAGCCGAGGTAGCACATGCAGATGATTGCAGCTAATTAGCATCTAACCAGGTGTGACCAAGCAGGCAGCCCAGCGTGGCCCTTTCCCAGCAAGGTGTGAATGCTGGCTGCTGTGCAGGTACAGGACAGGGGAGCCAGCCCACAGTTGGCTTCTAGCCGTTTGTTTCCTGCTGGAGGGTTCCCCTCCCCCACACCCTGTAGCAGATCAAAGGTAATACGCCTGGAATAATTCCTCTCTTGGTTTGAGAGCTCTGTGGTTAAAAACAAAAGTACTTCTTTAAAGAGTGAAAAAAAAATGACTGGCAAGACAGACATCTGGGGGCACACAAGGAGGAAAAGGAGAAACAGAGCATGTTTTAATTTAAACTCGGATTCTGTGGAAGGGGTCTTTTGTGGATATCTAATGTCTAGTGGAAGTCTAAATCCTGTAACGATTTCCTCTTTGGAAAGATCATTTCCAACTCCTTCAGAGTTAAATTTAATACTCACTTTCATGCTACTACCTAAAAACTGTGTTTCTGTTTCCGGAGTAAGTGCTGCTCTTTGTGTCTATTAGTTTGACCACGTGTCATGGCTAAGGGGAGACTCAGTTTCAGGTCCAGGGTGTCTTCATTCTTTGCAAAAACATCCTCATCCTCATCATTACGATTACTACAAAGAGCACCTACTCTTTGCTTTACACGTGTAATTTCCCTTTACCCAACAAGTGTGTACGATATGTATTATTACGCCCGTTTCACAGATGAGAAAATTGACAGCATGGTAAATAACTTGCTGATAGTCAAATAGCTAATATTTTTTACTGTGTTTATTAAAGCTATAGGGATGCTAACTAATCACATTAAATATATTTTTTTCTTTAAGGAAGGATTGAAGCAACAGTTATTGATATACTTATATTGGCATTCTTCCCCCACCCCGAACGACCTCCCATTTCCGTCTTTCTATGACTGTTAATGGCAGCTACCATTTCCCGGCCTTCCAGCCTCAGAAGGGTCAAGTACCTAGCAAATATTCTATCCCATTATTTTATTTGCCTAAGACTTATCTTGAGCTTTTTTTTAAAAAGCTCATTAGGACACTGTATCTGATTTGTCCCAATTCCTGCTATTTCTTAATCCTTAGGAATATTTTTCTAGATCATACACATATTTTGTTTTTTTCGCACAGTGTTAACTAGGACAAGGGGCCCAAGGTCTGGGCCCTTCTTACTATTGCAAATGCTCTTCTTACTGAATGTTACAATGCAGCCCGGTGTAAACAGGGTGTGTTTGACAGCAGCCCAACCCAGTCAGTATAGCCAACTGGAATTGTGTGATTGACCAAATAGGGTGCATAAGCAATGGCTAAGTCTCCCTTCTGGAAGCAGCTTTGGATATGAATCCCTTGTCTCCTTTACTTGCTGCCAGTAAATAAAACGACCTTGTGACAACCGGGTCCCGTTCTTGGATAGAGCACCCCAAGCTGCGAACTCCTTGAGCCTGGTAACACCAGCTACCACACAAGTTCTTTGTAAAGTGGAGGTAATAATAGCAGATGCTGCATTAACATCTGTGCCATAGGGCTTGTGATAGCATGCGGCCCATGGCATCGTTTTGACTGTCAAGGGGACGAGACAGTGGCAGAGCGTTTGTCACAGAGCCTGGCAAAGCTCCCCCAGCAAGGAAACTGAAAGTCCAAATGCTTCTCTGGGCGACACCAGGTCACTGGCCACAGTGCCCATCGAACACGTGAGACGTGGTCGGGCTGCACTGAGATGTGCTGATGGTGTAAAACACACTTCAGCTTTTGAAGACATAGTATGAGAAAAAGTGTAAACCATCTCAATAACTTTTATGGTTATGATACATGTTGGCCATCTTGGGCTAAATAAAATCCTTTAGCACATTTAATTTCACCTATGTCCCTTCTCCTTTTTGAACATGGCCAGTGGAACATTGAAAACTAAATATGTGGCTCACATTGTACTTCCATCGGACAGTGCTGGTGCATGAGGTTTTCAGTTGTACCAGTGACCATGACCTTTCATCGACTTCACAGTCTAGAGGAGCAGTGTTCACAGCCCCTCAAAAGTTTCAGGGAGAAGCTGCTCCTCCAGGACAGGCTTCCCGCGTGGCCCTGGGCCCCTCCCACAGCTGGCTTCTCCGCCTCTCACCCCCTTTGCCTAAGCTTCCACAGGGACCGAAACTGAGCCAGAGGAGATGGACGCCCCTGCATGGTTCAGAGGGTCTCACCCCAACACTGAGTGTGCGGATGTCTGTGTTTTCGGTCCTGTGCTCTCATTTGAACTGTGTTATAAGGGGAGGGGAAGGAAGAAAAGTTTTTAGCAATAGAAAATTCTGGGGAGCTTTGGAAACCCTGTTTTAAATGGTTGTAGCCAGGAATTTAAGCTCCAGAGGTCAGTTTGCCCTACAATAGACATTTTATCCTGGTGTGGGTGTGGACCGAGCAGAGGAAACGGTACTTTCGGGCTCCGGGACAGCCCCGCCCTGGGCATCGCCTTACCCACGGCCAGCTGCGGGAGTGTGCAGCCCAGACGCTCAGCGATGGGCGAGAGGTCTTTCAGTTTGTTTTGCTGTTTTCTCCCTTCTTCACTCACAATTCTTTCCTTCAGCCACTGGTAGCACTAGGAATGAAAAGAACATTGAAACATTGAAGTCTGGTAGGGGTTCGATGTCAGAGAGGGCTACTTCAGTAAACTGGAAGAGTCTCCCTGTGAATTCCTGCGTCTCCCTGATGGTGCCGCAGGTGAAGAAGTGTTCCTCGTGGGCTCACTCCTCGTTTATGGGCTTGAAGCAGACATCCATCAACATGCACCAAAGTGGTTAAAATCCTGACATAATCAATTATATCCAGTCTGCTAAGTGGGGGAAATGATGTTTCTTAGTGAAATAGCCTGATTCTAGAAGGTAGCAAAAGAAAAAAAAAAGCATTTACATTTCACCAAAGTCTATTTATTATGTGTCCTATTCCTCAAGAAAGCTGGGCGTCAAGCTTCCTGCTCAAAGGAAGCCGTTATCTTACTTTCTTGTTGTAAATTCCTTTCTCTCGCCTTCAATTTACTCCCCGTCTTGTGTTCTTGTGATGGGGCTTTATTGTGAGCTGCTCGCTCCTCCTAGAAGTAGACCTGGTGTTGCTGATAGGAACCGAGCACATTTTTAAGCTTTTCAAGCGACTAAAGACTTTCCCAAATGTGTAAGGAAACTTCAAAAGGTAAAGAAAGGCAAAATGGGAAACTATTCTTTAAAACCTATGAGAATTGACTGACCCTGATATGCAGACTGCAGAGCGAGCCTGATTTCCCAAATACAAGGAGAAAAATCTTTAAAACTTTTCAGCGGCCTGCTTTCCAGAAGGTTCTGCTCTTCCTAGGACGCAGGGAACAACAGACTCTTCCACACGAAGCTCCAACACCCCAAGGACAAGAATATTTGTAAGAGCCTGCTGGCCGGTTTTAGTGAAAATAACGAGACCCATCCCATGTGAGGCCGCGTGGACTCTCTGCATTTCATGTTGTTGCGACACCAGGGCCACACCAGACCTTCCCCTTCCTCAAGGCAGCGGCTGCGGCCTCTGCAGTTGTCACCGACACTACGCCCACATTTCAATAGGCAGCTGGCTTTTGTTTTTAAAGCATCCCCCACCCCCACCCCATTCTGAGACAGTATTTCCAGAGAACAGGGGAACCACAGGCTGTTTTGTTATGATCTCAGGGAGCGGTTTTGCAGATGTGAGAGAGAAAGGGCAAGCCACCCCCGTTCTGTGTGCCACCTCCTCTCAGAGGCTCAGGGCCTGGCTCCTCACTGGAGGCTTTGGCTGTTTCCCCAGCCTCAGCCCTGGGAAACCTCTGCTTCTCCAGGAGGAAGGGTGGCCTGGAGACCACAGCTGCTGCCAACAGCGATGGGGGGGACAGTTATGACCACGGGTGCGCGACCAGGGCCCAGCAGGCCCCTCTGAGTGGGGTGCTGGGTGTGCCAAGAGCCCTGAGCACCCTCGTGCTTTCCTCAAAGGGAGAAACATCACCAACCCTCCCTTCACAATGTCCTTCACAGGACCAGTGTCTCTGAATATCATGCAAATTTTTAAAAGATTGAAAACCAGTGGGCAGATGCTTTTTGAACAATTACTTTTTATTATAACTAAGAGAGTTCCTGGGGGTTCAATATATACCACACACATAAAGAGTGGCTGGTTTAATTATCAATCTATGGAAATCCATTTTTTAAATCATACGTGCAGTGTGATTCTACTCTGAGGACTGAGTTACAGGTTATATCCTGTGTGTGTGTGCATGAGCATAACGCCATGCATGCTAGAGGCAGGCTTCCCAAAGTAACGCATGTCAAATAGTTGTCGAATCTCTCTCCACCCTCAACACTGAAATCTCACTGCTGCCTTAACCATTGGAAAATGAGGAGGTTGGCGTTTTTAAAAAAGTGGATGCATAGGATTTACATTGCCTTCCTCCTACCAAAGGAAACAAAAGTGCTTTGGAAATAAATAGCTTTACCTGCTTTACAAGTGGGAAAAAGTTAAGAAATGAGGCTTAATTAAAATACTAGTTAATTATGGGAACAAACCCCTGTTTTATGTAAAAAGATTAGCAGTGGATGTGGTTGTGCATGATAATAAACTAGCTGGTCGACTGGGCAATACTCTATGAATCAAACAATGAAATTTCCTCTTCCAGCCTGGTATATCTCTCACCCCATTGCTGCAGCGATGTGACTACGTGTCGATACTTCTTTCTAAGAGGAAGGCAGGGGGAGCTTCTTATCCCTCTCAACATCTCCGGTCCTGACACTGGTTGGCAGAGGAGGGGCCAGCCAACATGGTGTTGAGAGAGGAATATGAGAAACGAGGGATTGAGCATCCCCACCTTCGGGCACACGGCCATGCAGGCAGTCCTGCGTGAGTCCACAGTGCTGGTGGGTTCCATGTTGTTCCCTAATTCACCCTTTCACTGCCTGTCTTTCCACGAGTCCCCCATGTTACTATGCAAAGGCCGAGGCTGCCCCCCCTCACCCCTGAACCCTTAGAACTCAGCATGGAGCCCAGCACAGAGCAGAGAACACGTGTTTGTCACAGGGACAACAGAAAGAGCTTTTCTCCACAGGTCAGTGGGCTATTGCTTGTATCTGCAAGTCACAGTATTTTCTAAACTTTTCCTAATGCCCATTGCTTTGCTGTCTCCCAGTGCAGTGACTGTTACCGATGGGTATGCATTTAAAGGGACTGATACAGAAGAGGCGACAGCCTATGAGACTGGCCCTGGGCGGCCCCCAGCTGGCTGTCAATAACCCCGAGCTGGGACTCAGGCAGCCACTACAAAGCCACGGACAGCAGCAATCACGTTTCACCTCTGGATCTTGTCTAGAATACTTCGTCATCCAAGCTCATTGGCTTTTCTGTTTAAACATCAAATTCTTTGGCTCCAAAAAGCAGCAAAGTCTTCACTAGTGAGGTTGAAATAGCTAGGGAAAATGCTGGAGCTAAGAAATTTCCTGAAATGAGACCATGAGATGCAATATCCTTAGTTTCTTAATGTGAACACCTGTGGTAAGTACTTGGCCAATCCCCTGTCCCCTGACTTGGATGCACCGAGCTTTGCATGTTGCCTATTTCCCTTTGACAGAGGGGTACGTGATTTTTCTATAAGGCGTTTTGCTAACAACTGAGGGGAGCTGCTCCTAAGTCTCATGGCACTTTTCATTTCTAGACTTTCTATTTAAAAGCTCCATACCTGGTCTCTTGCTCACTGTCGATCTTCTATTCCAGCTCATTGCATTCATTCCACAAGCATTTATTGAGCACTTATTAAGTGCCAGGCTCTGTGATGAGGTACATGAGTTAAGTTTCGGTGTCTTTCCTAGAAATAGTCTCAAATCACTGAGAAGTGTTTTGTAGTTGGGGCGCCCCCCTCAGTGGTTCCCTCAGACCCACGTCTATGCTGCCTCTCCGCGGGAAACACCCAACCAGGGAGCTGACAGGAGTGGATGAGAGCACCTTATCCTTTTTGCCACTGTCATTGGTCTAATAGGTTGGCCAGTCTTTTCTTGACTGAAACTGATAAATAAAATATCTCTTTTCTCTCAGGTTTCATGGCTTTAAGGGTCTGTAAGTCTGCAGTCGCCAGCTTTCCTGCTCCTGGCTTCATGGAGAACACCTACTTTCAGTAGAAGGACAACAACACCCAGTGCAGACAGAGAGAGAGAGAGGAGACAGGCCTGACGATGTGCGAGTCTGTAGATGGAGGCGTCCCCGAAACCGTCCCCACTCAGCCTTCCTCAGGAGTGTCTGCGTGGTCCCCTTCTTTGATTACATTAGTTTGAATTGAGTTCTACTGCTTGCAGCCAGGGAATTCTGACTCTGTAAGAAGTGTTTATGGAATAATAGAAGAAGATGCAAATGATCGCTTGATAAAGTGAGGACAGGCTACACAGACAACCAAGCTCTGTCTTTCAAGGTGAGAACTTCCACAGCAGGATGAAAAGAAGGGCATTTCTGGGAGGCAAAAGGGAGTCCAGTGTGTTTGGGTGGAAAACAAAGTGATATGATCAGAGAGGGACAAGAACAGAAAAATGAACCCAACTTAGATTCCGAAAGGATTTCCTTGAATGCTTTTCTGTGGGGTTTGGGTTTTGTCCTATAAGTAATGATTGGGAAGTCTTTAAAGAATTTTAAGCAGGTTACCCTATAGTCAGATTAATTTTTTAGCAATATAATTGGTCACAGTGACAGATAGTTGAGAAGAGGGGAAAGAAATTCAGAGTGCAGAGAGGAGGTTACTGCAGCAACCAGGAAAGGAACGATGAAGATCCGAACGAAGGCTGCCCAGGACAGACCACAGAAGGTCAAGGTATAGACTGGGGAATGGCCACCCGGTCAGACAGGGTGAGGGGGCAGAGGAGGCAGCTGGACACCATGTAGCCTCGGCTTCTGACTGGGACGACCACAGGGGTGGGTGGAGGCGCTGTTAACCAGGAAGGGCAGGTTTTGGGAGTGAGAATAGATTCCTTCAGGTATTACAGCAGCCTCTCAGAACTGCCCCTGGGTAGTATTACTTTCTAAAATAAAAGCATTTGCCGTACAGGGTTAATTTATCCCTCTAGTACGGTTCTATGCTTACAGCAGATGCAAAATATCAGCACCTTCATTTTATCGGCATGTCCTACAAGAGCCAGTTTGAAACATTAGTCATTTATTCTATTTGGGGGGCAAGAGGGGATGTGAAAGTTGGCAACTCATTCATCTATGTAGCTAGCTCTCTCTGTTAAATTTTTTTTAAAATTTTGCTATTAGCATTCTGATTCACTCCTAAGGCTGCTGTGATACTTGCTATTTTTCCCTCTTCTACTTGAGTGGCTTTTCTGCGCGCACCTGTATTAGTCCAGGAAACACTCAGGCTGGTGCTTTAGGAAGCCTCAGGCGTCTTCGGAACCCTCAAACAGTGTGCTGTAGGAGGGGCTGCCCTCCCCCTGCAGAGAGCTCTTAATGGTTATTGTTAAAGATGTTTCAAAATAGATGTTGAGCTGACTCTATAAAAGGCAAAAATAGAAATATTTTCTGAGTTGCTTTTGGGCTTCATATCTATGATACACCTTTTTGTTTTTTCTTTCTCCTTTTATTAGTGCATTTGTGAACATTGCTTTTTCCCCGCTGTCTATAAGCTTTTCTCAAACAGTGATGGGGGTTAACCAATCTTACACCGCAAATATAGGGTAGCTACCTCTTCTTTAAAAAACTGGGTTTGACAGAGATAAATTGAAGCCAGGAGACCTGGGATCTCACAGCGACCTTCTCTATTATGAGTTTACGCTTTTGGGTTGGTATCCAACCTCTCTGTGCACATCTGGAAAAGGTCTTGTAAGAATAGTCTGAGAACAAATCCCTGACATATATATGGGAGTACTTTGAGCTTTTTAGAAAGTCTTTGAAAGAATGTAAGGCCACGTGCTTAGCTACCGCTGACTAATATTCATCTGTATCCATTTATCTTTGTGAAGGTAAAAGGAGATGAATAAAAACTCTTAGTCCAGTGTTTGGCACATAGTAGGTACTCAATAAAATCGCAATTTTCAATACTTCCCTTTCTTCTTCACTCTTTTCTTGCCTTTTATACCATCTTCCCTAAAATGCTTTTTAGTTTTTCTTTGCTGGCTTATTCAGACTTGGTTCAGAACAGTCTTCCATTTTCAGAAGCAAGACCGTATTTTATATTCTAGTATAATTACATTTGTGATCATGCAAATCTAGAAATAGAACCATGTTGCCATGCTTATACTGTATTATTTTCTAGAACAAACAAGCCAATAGGGCAACTGTTACAGGCAGACAGGAAAGTGACAGACCTTGAGAAGGTTCTGATTAGGGAAGCACATGGTGGTCCCAGCCACACAGATTAAAGGGCTGCTGGTTTGGGCCAAACTTGAGCCGATCTCCCACTGACTTTGTGCTGATGGGGGCAAGCGGCTTGCAGACTTCTGCTCCCTCTTTGGGGCGTTGGGCCTGTCTGACTTTGGAAAATGCATATGTTCTCTCTCCTGATACTACAGAGTAATTTGTGACTGTAATGTTATTACACATTCTCGTAAGTTTCTAAAAACAAACATGTTGTTATTAAGAAGGAGTGATGTTTAGAGTACTCTCCAATAAATTAAGCATTGAGATGTTCTGAATGGAAGCATTTTTATGACAATGATCTTGAATATCATTATGCTTCAGAAAAGAATTTAAGCCACAGGACGTCGCACCCAGAGCTGACCTCTGAACACCAGCCCTGAGCCCCAGTGACAAAGGCGTGGCTGTGTGTTTGCTCTGAGTCCCCACTTCCGACCCTCCACCCTCACACGGTAAAAACATCAGCCACCCTCCAACCTTGCTCAGTTATAACCGGTTGGTCCCATGTGGATTAAATTTCTATGGCTTACATTTTGTTTTGTCAAAAGGTGAAGTTAGATCCTCCTTACATAGGAAACAGATTTTTACATGTTGTCAGTTTGAAAGGAGGAATGAAATGCCTTTTTTTAACATAAGCATAAATCACAGTGCAGGGATTCGTGCTCCAGGAGTCCCACCAGGTCATTGGGCATTGCCCCCAGGCCCCAGAGGAGGAGAGGTGTGTGCACCGGCAGATTGTGAAGGGCTGACTGATGCTTGGCCAGGAGCGGAGGCCTCTGGCAGGCTCAGGGCTCAGGGCTCGGGGAGCCTGCTCCAGGGACAGCTCCCGGCCAAGGCCACGCTGTGAGTGAGCCGGAAGGCACCGGCTGCTGCAAGGCTGTTCTGATCCATCTCCCCCCCCCCCTGCAACCCTGTCTCCCACCCCAGACTCTCTCCTAGAGGTAGAGGGAAATACCTTCAGAGAGGCCCTGGAGCTTTCGGGTACCCCATTTCCATATTTTCCTGAGATGATTCCACAGGCAAGTGGGGACCAGGTCATCGCTCCAACTCCTACAGGAGGAAAACAGTTTACAAGGCTGCTTGTTGCAAATTGGGATGGAAGGTGTGGGGGTGTTTAAGCGGGACTTGGCTAGTTGTGGGAAGAAGCTGGGCAGATAGAAAGTGCTAATACCAGCATACATCTTTCTTATTAAAGTTCAGAGATTTATAAACTGTGTTTTTATAAACCAATTAAGCAGGTAGAGTCAGTTATAGGGAGTGGGCCTTATAAACCAGCCTGAAAAGGTGGCTTATTCATGTACAAACTTTACATTTCTTTTTACACTCAGACACAAACACTTTTACTTGCACAGAAATTCAGTGCTTTGCTTGACCACTCAGTTCCAAACAATGCCCGGCACATACCAGATGCACAGTGCCCAGTACATGGTAAACACACAGTAAGTGCGAGCAATAGTAAGGGTTGCTATTGTTGAAAATTTTTTATCCTTTTTTTCCCCCTCACCCAACATTTTCCTGCTCATGTAAACCTCTTTCTTAGGAGGAAAGTTATCTCTGAAAACTTAAAAACAAAAAGCCTGAAAATGTGGCTGTTTCATGTCTTTCTGAGGTCTGAAATTCTTGTGTATGCCTTTCCCCTCTCTCTTTGGAGTCATTCCGTCGACCTACGCGAACACACAGTGCCGGGCTTGTGAGCTGTTCTGGAATTCCTCAGTCTCACTCTGTTCCAGGCACAGCCTGGGAGACAGATGTTTATATCGCCTATTTTTTTTTTTTAAAGCTAATCATAATCCACTCATGCTTTGGCTACAGCAAGCACCCTATGAAAAAGGACTTTATTTACGGTTTCTTCCCTTCATTCTGTATGTGTTTTTTGAACACCTGCTGAGTACGGCTTATGCACCAGTCGCAACGTGCTGTAGCTGCCCCGTTTGCACACACGCCCATTTGCAGTCACCGGAATGCATAGCTCTCACATCCCTGTGTTAATGAGGGGCATTTAGGAGGCATTTCAATGACTCTTTTCCCAGATCACTGGGACTCCTATTGTTAAAAATCATCAGTAAATTTGATTGAGAAAATTACCTATTTTATGGTAGAGCTCTGGTAGCTGCACCTCGACTTTCTCTCTCTGGAAAAGGTGGTATTCAGCTTGTTCACACACTGGAGGGATCATGTTGAATTGTCTTGCTACAGAATAGGCTTCCTGGGGAGAAATGAGATTGCATCTGGGTTTACACAGATGAGAAATAAGACGGCCCTGGGATTCATATGCATGAGAAATTTTCATTTTAGCAAAATCAGTACAAACCAAGAAACATGTAAGATGCATAATAATAAGCCAGGTTATAACCATCAGTTTCACTAAGAGCAACACGCAGCACAAGTAATCCTTGTTATTCTTCAGGAGGGTTTGGGCTGAGTCAGGCCCAGGGAAAATTGGTCCAGGTGAGACTTATGGACTATGAGAAAGAAAATGAACTTTGACTGTTTCTAGGTTTCTAAAAAAAATGAAACTTCCACTAATACCTACAGATGACCTGTTATTAGCACGTGGAAAATTGTACAGTTTTTAGAGTTTTTAAAGAATACTAGACTATTGTGTTCATATATCTCATTAGCTAAGAGATTTAATTTGCTCTTTTGCCACCAAAAATGTACTAACATGTGGTTCCTGTTAGAGCCCAGCCCTCCCTGCTGTGCTCCAGGCTGATGAGGTCCAGCCTCCGCATCCATCTCTATGATGATAGAATTGACCGTAGAGTTCTAGGGCCACAGTGGTTGTGAAGACGGCAAGAGGTCTTGTGATTTACACGTGGTGTCTGAAGACCAATGCACGCACACCTTAGAGATGCCGAGGCTTCTGTTCCAGACCACGGCAATAAAGTGAATCTCACAGTAAGGTGAGGCACACAAATGCTTGGTTTCCCAGTACATAGAAAAGTTATGTTCACACTATTCTGTAGTCTATTAAGTGTGTGATAGCATTACATCTAAAAAAAAGGCATGTAACTTAATTAAAAAATACATTATTGCTTAAAAATGCTAACCCTCATCTAAGCCTTCAGCAAGAAGTAATCCTTTAGCTGGTGGGCGGTAACATCAAAGATCACTGATCACAGATGTAATCTGTGCCATAACAAATGTAATATTAATGAAAAAGCTTGAAGCATTGTGAGAATGACCAAAAGGTCATACAGAGACGCAAAGTGAGCAGGTGATGTCGGAAAAATGGCACCAATAGACTTGCTTGAGGTGGGGTTGCCACAAGCCTTCAATTGGTAAAAAAACATTGTATCTGTGAAGCACAATAAAGCAAAGTGCAATAATCCCTGCAATGAGATGCCCAAGGGCCATTCAGAGATGGAAACGAAATTACCATGATCTCCATGGCACTCCACCGCGAGGTTCCCCAGTACATCGCCATCCCTTGGTTTATCACATGCGTCATGGCTCGAACAATTTCTGTGAAGGCCAACAGAGAACATTTCATGAGTTTCTCTACTTTGCAAAGTGATGTGGTCTTCCCTGACCCCCACCCCTGGTGAAGGCTTGGATGTTTAATCCAAGTATTTCCAAGTATTTGTTTGATTAATATAATTGCTCTGACACTGGTGACAACGTAATAGTCTACCATGAAATAGTGATGGTGTAGAGGCTGATGGTGCTTCTGGGTAAATTGACTTTCCATTTCCACTTGCAGCAGCAGCACTAAATGATATTAAAAACATAATGAGCACTTTAAGTTCTTCCTTTATTTTTATTGCTTCATAGTTCCTGGCCTGATAAAGGAGCTCATGATTAACCTCCTTCAGAACCTGGGTACTTTGCTCACTAAAGTGAGAAGTAAGAGACAGCATTGGTTTTGACTTTGTGGAGTGGAAGGTCATCGAGAGCAGGAGGCCTGCCTTTGTGTGTTGTATGGGCAGAGCTGGGCCTCACACAGGGTGGCTGTGTAATAGAGATGACTCAGCAACCATGAATTTAGCAGAAAGATAAACATATTAAATGAGGAACAAACAGCGGAGGCCACAGTGGCTCCCAACCCACAATGGCACTCCTTGTCCTTGACCACTTTGAACCAAATTTTATTCTAAGACACCCATGTAATAGATTTCACTGGGGCCTGTTCATGGTCCCACCCAGTTTGCTCATCGGCCTCTTTCAGTTTGACATCACATTTCCTGAACAGGGCAATGAATCCCCAGAGAGGTGGAGCCCAGCTCATCCTCTGGGCACCAGCCAGGTGTGGTGCAGAACCAGAGAGCTTGGAGAGCCTCAAGTTCAGCTGAGTGAGAAGCCACAATCATGGTTGCATTTCTCCTACAAAGCAGATCAGCCAAACACCAAGCTTACTAGGTCAGTTGACATTTTCAAGGGTTGCAGACCTTGGCTTCTCTGTGTCCCCCTAATACCTGTGGGTAAAATGTCCTTCAGAAGAGTCAAATCTTGGTTGCAAAGTCGAGTTGTGGTAGATGTAGTCTTACATTAGTTCTCACAAACAAGCACTGTCTAAATTAGGGAGCAGGGTTTGGAACATGACAGCAAGGTTAGGGTCTTAGCTTCCTTGCTTGGTTTATGTAAACCATTTTAAATTGCCCTTAATTTCTTTCTTGGGACAATGAGAATGTTTTTATTCACCCTTATCTACCCATCAGAGGCAGAATTTGGTTTGTAAGCAAACAAAAATAACTCAGCAATAGAAACTAGGAAGTTTATTTTCCCTTTATAAAGCAAATTAGATATACAAAGTTATATGAAAGATTGTCTTTTATTATGCAAATGGACCATAAACATTTCTGGAAGTTGAAAGCCCCAGAAGTATTCTCTCCCATCTCCATGGGTGTTCTGCCCCTTTCCTTTCCCCTCCTGTTCCATTCAGAGCCAAGGAGTTTGTTCAATCGACAGTATTAAGTGTCTGCTCTGCTGGGTGGTGGGGATACTGTGGTGAATCCCACATATTGGTAAACACTGTGGAGGTTCACAGAGAATAGACTGAAACCAAGATGCTCCCCTTTCTCTAAGTCCATAATCAGGTAAGATGAACACAGAACATTTGGGATGAGGGTCAGAGAAGAAAAAAGGGAGAGGAAGACTAGTGAAAATGAGATGGAGGGGGGCAAAGTCGGTGGGAAGGACTCTTCTGCCAGATGGTGGGACCCAGAGGTGTGTAGGGCTCGCCCAGGAAGACCTGGGAGCTCCTGTTTGATGAATCCTACTTTCAACAAAAGATCAGTCATGTGAAAATGAGGTGGGTGTGGAAAGTGAGGAACACAAGAGAATAGATAGTGCCAAGTGTGGAAGACCCTATGGTGGCAGTCAAGTGCCACAGGTACTTGAGTTGCTGGCAATTTCTTTCTCCCTCATCTGTTTGGCCTCTGACCCTGCAGAGACCAGCTGGGTGCAATATTGAAAGGAGAACTCCAGGAGTCCTGTTCCTTTGTCAGAAGCTAAATAGTTTTCTTTGTGAACCATATAGTATTGCAAGATTTGTAGTTTATTGAGCACAGTATTCCAACTTGAAAAAGAGCCAAAAGATGACAAAAATTGTAAAGTGGGCTGAATGAACAAAGCCAGCTTCCTCTTTCCTCCTCATTTTGCCTTAATTGTGTGAAGGCACTTCTCACAAGTTCTGAGGAAAAAGATGTCTTCAGAACCACTTTAATGGTAATATCACAAGTTGCCCCAGTAATTGTCCCCAGGAATTATTTGAAAATAGAACGCATGGGAAGAGGGAAGGACCAGAGCTCTTATTTTCAGTTTTCTTTTATTCGTAGTAAAAGCTTGAATCCAGGAATTCTTATCCTGGAGGAGGCTGCAGGGAGATGTGAGGGGAGAACTGAGAGGCTGAAGGTGGAGACTAATGTTGCCAGAAAAATAAAATTTAATTTAACACACATTAATTTTTTTAAATGTCAGAGAAAAATCCCCCAAGTGTTTAGCTAACAGGAAATTGCTATACTGATGGCCGAGAGGGGGGTTTTACGTGATTCTACTATCTAGGGACACTAGAGGGCAGCATTGTTGAGAAAAAAATGAACTGAGTCTAAATTCAGTTGTTTTCCTTGTGCATCGGGGAAATGCATTTTAAAAGTATAGTCAGAGCATCGATTCTGAGTCAGGAGAAGGACATTAGGAAGACCACTTAGTGCATTGCATTCACCGGCTCCTGGGAAAGAACACAGACAAACTGATTAAATCTTGGAACCCAATACTGAATGTGACGACCCTGCTTTTCCAGGAAGCCCTAGCTCCAGTGGTTCTCAGCCCCGACTGCACATTCAAAACTGCACTATCCGGGCTCAGTATTACACTACATTCAAAACTGTACTAACCGAAACTCTCTTATATCAGAATCTCTGGAGGTGAGGCCTGGCACCAATGCTTTAAAAACACATCCCTGGTGAGCCTGGAGTGCAGGCAGGGCTGAGAACCGCTGTGCTCACTGGTCTACGCCATTGTTCCCGAGTGTGGCAGTAGCCACCACCTCTAGGAACTTGTTAGAGATGCAGAGCCTAGGGCTTCACCCCAGACCCCTCGAATTACAAAATCTGGAGGCCGGTGGGGCCCAGCAGTCCGTTTTAACCAGCCCTCCAAGCAATTCTGGTGCAGAATCAAGTTTGAGAACCATTGCTTCATACCACTCCCAAGTAAGGCGTTACAGTGGGTAAGAAATTCCTCTCACGGTTCTTTCTGCTCTTTCATCCAATCTCAATGCTTCATGCTGTAATTTAACCCTTAGGTTAGTTATTTGCTTTAGTAGACGTGTAACCAAGGTAGTCACTATGGCATGCATGCATTCTTGTACGTGCATGTGCGCACGCACACACACACTTGGGTGTGAGTCAGGATCACCTGAGGAAGGTGATGAACGTGCGGAGGTGCAGGTCCTGGCCTTTCTATTATTTTCATTGGCTCTCAAATCTCGAAGTTTGAGAAACAATGTCTACACTGTCAAATAAAAAAAAAACAACCCAAACCTGTGTTAACCCTTCCCCATGCACTCCTTTCCAGGGTGAAACAGTCGTTGCTATTCTTCGCTCTGCAGGCCACAGGCAGCTCTCTCTCCTGTCCCCTGCATCCCGGCACATAGCTGGCCATGGATACGGGTTTTGCCTCTCTGACAATTCCATTTCCCTGGAAAGTGAGTGGGTATGGATCCTGTGGAGTCCTTTCAAAGCCTGACCCCAGATGAGGTGTGTAGACTAATCTGGGAATCTCAGAGTAACACAAACTGAGTAACGAGGAAGCAGGACGTGCCTCTGGTTGTTTCTTGTTTCTTCTCAAATAGACTCAGATGCTCACACTTAAGTTACCCAAAAAAAAGTTGGCATTCTCCTTTCAGTAATGTAGGTCATCTATATTTTTAAATATGTATTTTAAGCTAAAGGCCTTAATAAACCTTTAAGTGAAAATAGCTCATCAATAAACATTTTTTAATTGTCCCCCATGCCAAACACAGTCACTCACATTAAACTTCTGTTCATGGGAAACGCTCCCTAGAACCTCGGAGGTCGTAGGTGGAGAGTTACCCTGCATGGGCCCCAAGGACTGAAGGTAAATGTGCAGAAATTAGTATTTCGGCAAAATGTACTCGAGTTCACCTGGCCACGAAGACGCAAAATAATAAAAACGAAAGAAACATTAGCCACATTCCAGTGCAGTTTCCTCTCTCTGTAGAGGAGGAAATACGGACTAGGTGTTCCTTGTTTTAAGGCATACTTAAAAGCTTGAATATTATTAATACTTATAACTATTTCAAATATAGTTACAAAATGCCGAGATTGGGTACACAAAATAATTGAACTACATAGTGGAACTATGTGATTTTGTCCTATTATTCTAAGTTTCTATAAATGCATGTGATTATACTTTTATAATCTAAAAAATAAAGAAGAAAGGAGGGTCCATAACAGGCAATAGCACCACTTTAAAACACTAGCATGTTATAGATTAATTCACAAACATTGGGTTTCACCGAATGAAATTGCCAGTTTGAGAGGTCAATAATTGTCGGCTATCGGCAGTGCCGTTGACACGGTCCAGCTTCCCTGCTGTCAGACCTCCTTTCCTGAGAGGAGCGGGGTTGGGGGGGGGCACTGGCAGAACTCGGGGGCTCAGGTTCATCAGAGGAATTGTGAACACTGATAAAAAAAATCAGGTCTAGACCTGGGCACAGGTTTTACTCCAAACCAGCTGTTTGTTCTTTATATGTCTAAACTTGACTTGTTTATTGACTTTGGGTGCTTGTGGTGGTACTGGTTTCTAATGAAGCCTCTTTGGGGCTTAGAGGCTTCTTCTTGGCTCTTTATCAGTCCTGTATCATCTTGCCTTTGGAGAATCCTCCCTCAGTGCCCAACTGAGGGTCTGGAGGTAGAGGACAATCCTTTCTCGCAGGAATGACACTCATACCCATAAAGGAAGTGATGCCACCATTAGCCTTAAAGGCTTGCTGAGTGTCCAAG